AGATATATAAGGCGTGAAGACCAGAAACAAGAAGCATTTGGCTGGTTAAGCATTTGGCCTGGTTAAGCATTCAGGCTTTTGAGCAGCAGTTCAGCTGAGACCCATTCTGGATGAGGACTCAGAGGCCTCCAGTCTGAGGAAACAAGACCAGCTGAGGATCCGGTGAGGTGAGGTAGCTGTGGCTTATTCTGGTTCTCCGATCTTTCAGTTCACCCCAATACCTGGCTCAGGTTTGATTTTATTAATAAGAACTTTTTAAGATTCATGCTACAGTACAGAGGTATCTCTGATAAAGTACTTTCCTCCATTTGGGGATGGACCTGGCTGGATGCTGCCAATGATGATAATTACAGGGAGGCTTGAACTGGAGTTCTGGCTGAGCATAGCTATCAGTGGAGGTTATCCAAATATTCCTAGAAGTGGTTAGATAAGGAGTTAGAGGTCTATAAGATTAGTAAGGCTATAAGAAAGGAGGGTCTGCGCTAAATTTTTTAAAGCTATTACTGAACATCCACCTGACCTAGGTGGTGTCTCCTTGTGGAATTTGTCTTAAATCAGGAGATTTGCACGTGGGCTGTTATTACTGCTAGTCCTTGAAAGTGGCCAAGGGAGATATCTGATTCCAGAGAAAGCCTTTCCTGAGGCAGTTCTCCAAATATCTGGAATGTGTATGTCCAGAGAGTGATCAGTCCACACTGTTAGCCCTTCTTAGGGAAAAGTCAATTGGGAAAATTATTAAGGCACACATGATTTTCTTAACAGAAGACAGCTGATATATAACAAGCCAAATAACACCAAAAACTCCTTGGGATTTGGCTTCCTCTGGAGAAATTCCCTGATTCCTCCAGGTAGTGACTTTGCCATAACCAGCTGAGTTCTTATGATATATTCCTGTGGCCTGTAGCAAAGGCACATTATTCTCTATTATAATTTTATACACTAGGGCATTGTAATGGATACATTCAACAATGATGAAACATGAATTTTCCCTTCTGAAGTAAAGATCAAAATCTGGTGAGTATCCTTTATCACATGCATCTTCCTTCTCATTTTCTTGGTATCCAGGTTTGCTATTTTGAATGAGGTAACCCCCATGGTCTCATACTTTTGACCCTTTATCTGCCTTGGTAGAACTGTTTGGAATGGAGATGAGGTGTGGCCTTTTTGGAGGAGGTGTATCATGGGATGAGCTTCTCTCTGCCTCCTGCTTATGGATCCATATGTGAGCTCTCACATGTTCCTGCTGCCATGCCTTCCCTTAGCCACCATGAAATCCAGCCATCTGAAATCATAAGCCTAATTAAAGGCTTTCCCTTGTAAGTTGTCTTTGTCAGGTGTTTCATCCTAGCAATAGAAAAGTTACTGCACATGAGGATATGAAATTGAACATGAGATACAACCAGTACTTTCAGAAATGAATATAGTAGGGGAGATGCACAGTAACAGGGTCCTAATTTCCTGTTGTACACTTGCTCAGGTAGAATTACAGGCTTCTTTTCTGTCCTAGTGAAAGCGTTTCTTGTATATTCCTAATACAGAGGATTTACAGAATAGGGTGAACAAGTGCTTATGTTTTTGATGATTGGTTTGGGTTTTACTGAGTCTTGCTATTGCTAGCTCAGACTTTTCTAGAACATTCTGCAAATCCCAGGCTGGCCAATGTAACAATTACAGAGAAGCACATGTATAAAGAGTTCCTCTTTAAGAAGGTCCCAACGGCAGGAATCAATACAGGCTATTGTTTGTTTTCTTGATTGCCCACCATAACTAGAACATGAATCCCTATTGATAAAGACACAATTTCAACTGAAATTCTCCACCTAACTCACTAGCTTTCATGATCCTGAAGTTGCTCTTCAAACTCCTGGTGGAGAAAAATACTAATCAAGTCTTACACAGCTGTGGAACTCATAATCTACAATAATGGTGACCTGTATGGCAGGATAGTAACTCATGCAGTAATCCCTATCATGGGTGTAACTTAGAGCTTTCTCCTTTCACCTGTGACCCACTCTCTGGCATAGAACTACTATCTAATACATAAAGCCAAGTCTCCATGGCTGGGAAAGTCATATGCTCTATGAGATACCATACGACTTGTATTTTTCTGAATAGACAACATGTCAAATTGGCTTCTATATAGTTATATTTATGCCTATAGATTTGTTATGATGTCAGCCTTCACCAGAGAAATTCTTTCTTTGTAAGTGGGTGATACTTAAAGTAGAACCTCACAGCTTTTCAAATTATGAAGGATAACTGTGGAGTACTCACACTTATCCTCAAGGAGATATTTACATCATATCACCAGGCTCAAGGAATGCCTCACAACAGGATGTAGAAAGACCATAAGAACCAGAGGATAGCAAGGAGTCCTGTGAAAAGTGCATCCTCGATATGATCATTGTCCTGCACTCCTGAACTCACTGCCAAGGTTACCAGTGCAAGATCTGCAGAAGATTGGGTGTATCATTATTTCAACTTTCATGGAGGAGAGGCTAACTCTACACTATTCATTGACAGACTACTAACAGTTAATGGTTGCTGGGAAAGGGTATCACATTGTCTTTAGCCTTAGAGCCATTGTTGAGATGAGTGTTCCAGTAAATAACCCCCAACTCATATTCATACTAGCAAACAAAAATAAACTCACTGAATCAAAGAAAAGAAAAGCATTATAGTTGTTGGTAAGTGTAGTGAATAGAGTTTCAGTGAGAGAGGAAAGAGCATAATGAAGTGAAATTAAAATAAATCATTATTTAGCTATTTAAATTGCCAAATAATATAGCAAATAAAAATATAAAAAAATGAACAGAGTAGGTAGTATATGGTATAGCATTAGGTGAATACATACATATAGACTTTCTAGAAAGAGGAGAAAAAGATTAATATACAGAAAACATGCTTAATGAAATTCTATATGAACATACAAGTCCTGGAATCTCAGAGGCACTCAAATAAGTTCAATGGAAAACACATATCCAAAATATCAAATCCTAGAAAGAAAAAAAGACATGAAAATAAAGTGTGTGTGTGTGTGTGTGTGTGTGTGTGTGTGTGTGTGTGTGTGTGTGTGTGATAGAGAGAGGGGGGGGTAAGTTACATTTAAGAATTCAAGTAGACTGAAATTAATTTCTTAATAAAAAGGTAGCAGTATTGAGATAATTTGGTAATATAGCCAAAGTTCTAGCAAGAAATAACATAAAAAAACTCCCTTTAAAATAAAATATAAGATGACCAGAAAGCTTCAGAAATGAAGAAAAAAATAACCACTCTCTGTAAACAAAGGAAAGGTGGACTTAACCTAAAAATGTGTTTGCATTAAATTCACTAAAATTAATTAAAGTGAAGGAGAAAAATAACTTTCTCAACAGGTAAAAACACCAAATCTTGAAAAATTGGAACATAGAAAAATGTTCAAAACAACAAGTAAATACTAGCATAAAAATTTCTTATATAATCATTAACCATGCACATAATTGGAAGAAATCATGCAGTCAAAAAGGAAGAACACCTGGATGGAGAAAACAGAACAATCTGTCAGAAAAAAAAAACATTTCATGAGTAAAAACATAGTCTGAAAGTGAGTGAGTATACTGTACATTAATAGAAAACAAAATGGAGTAAGGTATACAATATTTACATTAATAAAATAGAATTTAAGTGAATAGCATAAAATGTGGCAACTAAAGTAATTATATCATGTGGTGGTTTGAATATGAATGGCTCCCATAGGATCATAGATTTGAATGCCTACTCATCAGGGAGTGGCACTTGTAATAGAGTATTATTTTAACGTGTATTACTTCTGTTTATGTGGCATTTGTTTAAGTCTGTGAAGCTGTGTTACTGTGCCTGTTTAAAAGCCCTGATGGCCTAATAAAGAGCTAAATGGCCAATAGCAAGGTAGGAGAAAGAATAGGCAAATAGGCCAGGTGGGCAGGCAGAGAAGATAAATAGAATGAGAAATTCTGGAAGAAGGAAAGAGAAAGAAGTGATAGTCAGAGAAAGAGGAGAACTTCAGGGGTCAGCCACACAGCCACCCACCTACACAGCAAGCATGGAGTAAGAGTAAGATTTACAAAAGTAAGAGAATGGGGAAAGCCCAGAGGCAAAAGACAGGTGTGTTAATTTAAATAAAGGAAAGCTGGCTAGAAATAAGCCAAGCTAAGGCCAAGTATTCATAATTAAGAACAGGCCTCTGTGTGTGATTTATTTGTGAGCTGGGTGGTGGGTCCCACAAAAGAACAAAAGCAGTAACAGGCACTGTAGCTGGAGAATTTCTCTCCAACTCCCACCAAGTCCCGCCAGTTCTGGAGCCCACTTATAAAATAAACACACAGACTCTTACATTATTTAAACTGTTTGGCCATTAGCTCAGGCCGATTATTGTCTAGCTCTTACTCTTATATTTAGCCCATTTCTATTAATCTATACTTTGCCACGTGGCTCGTGGCTTATTGGTACCTTACATCTTGCTTGTCTTGGCTGTGGCTCCAGGCAGTCTCCCTCTCTGCCTTCCTGTTCCCTCAATTCTCCTCTCTGTTAGTCCCCGCCTATACTTCCTGTCTGGCTACCGGCCAATCAGTGTTTATTTATACAGAGCGATATCCACAGCAAGGCACTATTTGAAAGGATTAGGAAATGTGGCCTTGTGGGAGGAACTGTCATTGAAATTGGGTTTTGAGGTTTCCAAAAGCCCAAATCAGGCCAAGTGGATTGCTCTTCTTGCTGCCTACAAATCTGTACATAAAATTCTCAGCTATTTGTCCAGGTCCATGTCTGCCTGTATGTTGCTATTCTTCCTGCCCTGACACTGGACTAAATTTCTGAAACTGTGAGCAAGTCCTGAACAAATGCTTCCTTTTAATAAGAGTTGACATGGTCATAGTGTATCTTCAGAGCAAGAGAAGATTGACTCAGAAATATAGTACAGGAGACAGTTAAACAAAGGAATAAGTTCAGTTTCCTGACTGCTTTAATCGATAATTTTGAGTCACTTAAGCAGATAACACCTATAGAATCAGAGTAAGTTTTCGTTTAGCGTTAAACTTATTGTCTCTAGTTGATGAGAGAGGACATGTTCACCAATTTCCTGAGACAGATGAAATATAATTGTTATTGCTGTTGATGGGACCAGAAATGCATGACCAGTGAAGTGTAAGGCCCTCAGCTGCAAATAATAAGGTTTCTCAGCACCATTCTCTCTCTCACACAGATAAATAACTTATTTGGCAGCTGGGTTACCCCCCCCCCCCAAGAAAGGAAGTTTTTGTTAAGGTCTGAATCACTGTGTGAGGAAAATAAGAAGCTTGGAGACAAAAATAAACTCCCAAATCTTCAGGCTCAACTCTGCTGATCTTGAGTGTGAAATCTGTGTCTGACCCACTGCCACTGAACCTGTCTGGGACCCCAGAAAATCGGTTGGAAATCTCATAGATGAGGAGCTGTGGAGACTGGCCTGGCCTCTGCAGGTACCATTTCAAATAAGTTTTTCCATTACTATAGAGGACACTCTGGCTAGACTTGCAAGAGATAGAAACTTGATCACCAAGGCTGACATGCAGGGACAGTGGACTTTCGGTCATCATAATATCACATCTGGAAGCTAAAATAATAAGAGAGAAGTACAAAGTCATGGACAAACTTCATGAACAATCTGTGATTTCTTTTTTTTATATTTATTTCAACTTAGATGTTTAAATTAAATAAAATTCTTTTTTTTTTTCGTTTTTCGAGACAGGGTTTCTCTGTGTAGCTTTGCGCCTTTCCTGGGACTCGCTTGGTAGCCCAGGCTGGCCTCGAACTCACAGAGATCCACCTGGCTCTGCCTCCCGAGTGCTGGGATTAAAGGCGTGCGCCACCATAAAATTCTTTATTACACTAAAATTTGCTTTTTAACAAAGAAAAAATGAACTAATAGCCCTAAGGGTTTCTAGCTATAATTTAGACCATCCTAGTCCATCTCTATCATAATCTTCATTATAATACAGGTTCTTTCCCATCTGGTTCCTCCCACTCACAGATGTAAATCTCAGGGCTCCCATCCTGGAGGATAAGATCCATCTTCTCTACATGGACAGAACCCATGTGATCAGCAGTAAGACTCAGGACTCATCCCCACTACCCATCCTCCTTCCTCAGTGTTCTTACCAGGAATCCTGAACACCAGCAGCACCAACAGCATAACAGGAAACTTCATTTTGAGGAGCCAGTCTAAGGAGACTAATCAGTCACTACAAGAGGACTACATTTATCTCAGACTAAGAAGGGTGGGTCCTCCCTAGGGAGTAATATGCAAAGGCCTGGGTTAGTGCTGAAGTACAGGCAGAGGAAAGAGTTATGAGGATTTTCATGCTGGCCCCTCCTTCTTTATCAGAGTCAGAACAAAGTGATAAAAATGAGCAAAGCTGTTTCTGTGTTCAAGAGAGGCCTCCTGGTGCTTATCTGATGAAGGAATGTGAAGATGTTATGGTCCAACATAAGGACCCAGAGGCATGAATAACAGAAATTCATCTTCTTAGTGTGTAGGAGGCTTGAAAGTCCTAGATCAATTACTGGGAGGTATTCATTGCATCCTATCTTTCAGACTGTACTTCTAGTTGGCCACTTCCATGTCTGGCCCTCACAGAAATTTTCCTAAAAGGATTATTTGAGTGTCTATTCTTCTTTCAAAACATTATTTTCTAACAGTTAATCATATACCTGAAAATACAGTTTATCTCACTTTGTAAGTTTAATTCATATTTTGTCATGCTGTTATAACAGGGATATAGAGGTGGCTTTCGCTAAACACATTGAATTTTTACTTATACTTTAAGGTGCCCAAAATGTGTTACTGTAAACAAGATAAAGCCTGGTATCTGTACTTTTGTTTTATGTAATCTCTTTACTTTTGCTTCAGACTTCTGTTCAATTTTGCATATAGGCATGTTAATCAGTAGAGGATTATATGTTAAATCAGGTAGCACAAGGTTGATTAGACTTAAATGTATTAAACATATTTTTTCCACTTTAGGACTGATGAAACTACTAAGATATTTTATTGTTGTCCTAGTTAGGGTTTTTAACTGCTGTGAAGAGATACCATGACCATGCCAACTCTTAAAAAAAAACATTTAAAAGAGATGGCTTGCTTATAGTTTCAATGGCACAGTCCATTATGGAAGCATGGCAGCTGGCAGGCAGATGTGGTGCTGGAGCTGAGAATGCTAAATCTTGCAGGCAACAGGAAATCAACTGACACACTGGGTGGTATTCTGAGTGTATGATTCCTCAAAACCCACCTCCACAATGACACACTTCCTCCAACAAGGCCATATGCCCTCCAAAAAAGCCACACCTCCTAATAGTGCCACTCTCCATGAGAATATGAGATTATAATGGGAATGTAATGGGGGCCAATTACATTCAAACTGGGACAACTGTTATCCTTTACACAGTTTGTTCCTGATTCTGCAAATGCTTCTTAAGTCTCCATTGCCACTTTAACACCCTGGTCATCTTGGACTTTAGAAACAATTAACTTTTCAGGAAGATCAAATAACAATGGAAAAATGCCAACCCTAAGAGGGAGAGACTGATTGATTTTGGGATGTGAGGCTGCCCATGAAATTCCTGAGCAATTATGAGCACTCATCTCATCACAAACAAATACATCTACATATGATGACAGCAATGGTTTTCCTAGAGTCTAGAATTAAGAAAACGAGCAATCAGACCTTTAACTGAGACTTCATAGCTACACACAGTTCTTAACCCTTTCCTTAGTTCTTTTCTTTTCAACACTAACATGCACGTGACAATATAGACAATGATTATACTTCTCTCTCCTTTTGCTTTGCCAGTGCAGTTCTATTGACTTAACTCTTGTTTAACTTTCAACATTCATTCACTTGATTTCAATTTCAAGTATATTATCTAATTTCTGTGAACCTCTCAAAACAAGTCCCCTATTAGCTAACTCTCCAGTAACACTACCAAATGCCACAGGTAAAATGCTATGGATATTGAATGAAAAAAAATATTCTTAAAAGCTACCTCACTAGGCTAGAGAGATGTCTCAGCAGTTAAGTACACTGGCTGCTCTTCCAAGGTACCTAGTTAAATTTCCACCACAAATGTGGTAGCTCACAGATATCTGTAATTCCAGTTCTAAAGTATCCAACACCTTCTTCTGGCCTCCATATATGTTAGGCACTTACTGGTAGACAAAACACCCAAATACATAAAATAAATTTAAATTTAACATAATTTTCTTGTTTATTAAAAAACTATCTTAAAGTACATGTGTTTATGATTTATTACTGGGATATAGAAATCATATTGATGATAAGCAGTCATTTGATCATGGTATCACCATAATTTATTCCGTTTTCCCCCTCCCATTTCTTTTCACACTGTTGGACAAAATGTCATATGGACTTACCAAAGTTTCTAGTGCCTAAAGTTTTGCAATATAATATAAGCAAAAGCTTGTGTATCTATAATATAATTTTATTAAAAATATACATATGTCCAGGTAAAATTGGGATATAGTGGATCATGATTAATGTACTTTTAACACAGTGCTTGAGAAAATGTAAATAAAATAATATTTTCATTTTCAAACAGCTGTAGGAAATGAAGAGTAGATGGCATAATGTTCCAAAGAGGATGTTTCTGTGGGTGACATCAGTTTCTGTATCATCTTGTGGCACAGCCATATCTGAATGGAATGGCAGAAGTTATAAAGCCAGTACAGCTGCTTGACAAAGATCCACCAGAACTGAGCCACATGATGGCTGCCATGCCACCTTTGGCTTTCATCTCCACCTGTTACATACTTGGGACATTCTTAATATTTATACAATTTGAGGATATTGGACTGATAGAAAATTCCTTCTGAATCATTTATGCCTTCTCCCAGGAATGCTGCTTCTAAACTTATCTAGGAAAGTCCTGAAAATACTATCTCCCACTACCCACTTTGAGGGAGAAATCCTTATCTACTTGAAGGTCTTCCTTGTGCCTTGGAGGTTGTGACACAAAAAGAAGAAGCCAGAGGTCTCTTCATGAAGCTATGAGACATTCTTGAAACATTTGTCCCTATACTTACACTGGAACAAGATATTCAAAACAAAGTCAATTTGAAAAGGTCAACAAGATTCAGTGGGCTAGAGGAATTGTCCACAGTTCAAATTACAAGCTTCTTCCCACTGTACATTCAGACAATTATGTGGAATACAACTCTGCCCTACATAGAGACATATTGATAAGTAAAGTATGGAGTGGAAAGATGATAAAAGTATGAGATGCTAGGACCTCCCTCTCTTAGAAGTTAGCTCATGCAGAGCCACTATAATGTCATATGACCAAGGAACAACAGAATGCCAGGATTAGACATATAGACAAATTCTATGAGGATATAAATGTGAACATTGATTGTATTATGCCAGAATTTGAATAACTTCAGCAGCTTTAGCCTGAGATTTTTCCTGGGTACTCTGACTACTAACAGTTAATAATACATTGCTTGAGACATGATAAAATGCCCAGGGTGGTTGAAGATTTTATTTTGGTCTAGTGTCCTTGAAGCAACCAAAACAACCAGCCTGAGCACAGGCTGTCATATGCCTATAGATCCTCAAAAATTGGGTCATGGGGTTAATGAGTAAGAATGATAACTCTGTTTATTAATGATGTCAAAATTTGAGGGGAAATGACTGGAAACGATAACTCTGCTCTGTCATAGTTTATTAATGATGACTAAAAGATAAGCAAAAGGAAGTGAAACACATGTCCAAAAAAAATGATATGATCTATGTTTTGGAACATCATGGATGTATCCCTGCTAACTAAATTCTGTATAAACAAACACTCTGGCTGCTAGTCAGTCAGGCTGCAAGATTCTCCTGACCACCATGGCCTGGCTCACTTCCTTCTCCCGCCAACTCCTTATACCCTCTGCAGGACCCATTCACTGCCGGGGAATGGCTCCCAGCAATCTTGCTCTCAATTGAATTAGATAAACTTAAGTGTCCAAATGGATTTTGGCTTGTCCAAAGAAGAAGGACACTACTGGAAAAAAGCTTCTAATTGAGCTTTGGCAGTGTATATACTTTCCTCAAATTTCTGGTTGCAGTTCTTTTTCCAGGGACTGAGATCTTATGAGCAAGTCCATGTTAAAGTGCTGTTTGTTGTTCTACTTTTTTAAGGTTATATTTAGGCAGCCAAGTTGGTTGAATGTATTAGCTGTAGATTCTGACCTAGACACCTAAGAAATGCTGACAACAGGAGAAATAATTTTCTTCAAGAAAAGCATGCCAATTGGTTATGCAATAGTAAATGGTCAGCCCTAAAACTATATAAACAGAAGCAACATCATACAGTCTGATGAGATTGTACTTATGTATTTAGGATTACATAAATATAATACTTACATATGTATACATACCCTTATATTTATACATATATACATGTCTATGCTTACACATGTGCATATGTATATATTATACCTACATATATACATGTACTGGTATATATCTATACATGTATTAACACACACACACATATATACATATATATGCCACAACAATTTACAAAGTGACCATGAACTTGAAAGAAAGCAAGAAATATGTGGGATGGTTTGGAGGGTGGAAAGGGAAGTGATAAATGATATAATTGTATTACAATCTCCTACAAATTGATTCTTTTATTAAATAATGCATTTAAGCTAAACTCTTAATAGCAAGTATGGCTTTCCTTGGAACATTTGCTGAGATTTTCTCTAAGAAATGTGATGAAGTAGATGGGCTCCAAATGCTGAGGGAAACTTCCAATCTTCTTGGGATTTACCCCTTCCACCCACATTGATGCACTGATTCTTTACATGTGTCTGAGGCATGAACCTTGAGCAATAGTGCACCAACCATTCTGGGCTTAAATATTCTTTCTGATCCTCTTATCTTAAATACAAGGCCTCTCTTGAGTGACTATTTTCTCTCAAGTCATCCCCTTGTTTGTGGTAGGGACAAAATGAACCTCAAGTGTTCATGTGTGCTCTCCTAGAATGATTAAGAATGTGTTAAGTGTTCTAAGGTACATTTGGATTGGAATTCTATTAACCATCAAGTCATTAAATATTTAGAATCATCCTTGATCCATGCTCCTCACTGAGCTTTAAATTTGAAATGCAGGAATCAACTCCGTGATTCATTCTAA